GCTAGTCCAAGATTTCTTTCCCTTTCCCAGAACCTGAAAACCACGCAGATAACAAGGATGAGCTAACGGCTCAGCAAGACTACACTAGCCAATCAAAATCTCCAGAAACAAATATCAGAAAATACATCAGAAGAGTAGCCGCACAGAATTCAGATAATCTTATAGAAAATCAGACAGAACAGAAATTGAACAGAAATCGAACAGAAATCAAATAACTGATACAGAACAACTGAATTCATTTCACACAACAGAATTATTCAAATCAGATTAATCACAGATCACGGAATCGTACAAATCAAAAATCAGAACAGATTTCAGATATCAAATAACACATATCAGATATCAGATTCCCGGACACTGACAGAATCTCAACGAATTCTGACCCCTTATCCCTCCATTCCCTAACACAGACAGAATCTCAACGGACTCTGACCCCTTATACCTCCCTTGTGCTTACAGCACCAGAACTTGTCAGATATACAGAATTTTCAGAACAAAACTTATTTTCAGATTCTCGGACCCAGACAACGGAATCACAAAGGATTCCGGCCTTATAACTCCCTTATGATATCACAGCACATCAAAACATTCAAATTCAGAAATCAAATTTCGTCAGAAAAATCGTCAGCGGCATAACGGCAGTATAAGAAAATCCACAGAATTCACAATTTCAGAAATTTACCAAATTACCATAGGTAGTAGAAAACATCATTTCAAGACTTTAATTGTACTGACGAAACATTTTTCAACATCCAAATAAATCGCTATTCGATAAAAACTCCACAAAATTCAAAATACCCGGTAAAATCTTCCAGAAAATACTCAAAACGTGAAAAACATCGTCTCAGAAATATACCAAAAGTTACACGGTAAAATATTCACCAGAATGAAATAATACCAGATTTTGGCTAACGGAAATAAAATTTGGAACAGAAAAATCGTCAAAATCCATATTTCTGAAAATTGAGAAAGGCGGAATGTGCCTTAACTCGAGTCGGTCAACTTTTTCAACTACGACGACGGACGAAAACGGACCGAAGTAGCCCAAAATCCACTTTTCTTCCTTTTTTCCTTCATTTTTCTCTCTCCTGGGCTTTTCTCTCTCTTCAAAAATATCTTAATCAAATATATACACATGCAGATCGTACGGGACGAATCTTATTCGTCCCGGGACGATTTGCCCTCTGGACAAGCTTCGTTCAGACGAAGTGTATTCGTTCCTGGACGACTTGCTCTCTGGACAACCTTCGTACGGACGGACCAAATTTCGTCCTAGGATGAACCTCCCAGTTCACATATCCTGTACTGATCATCCCAGGACGATCCCACTTCGTCCTGGACGATCCTGGAAGGAAAAACTAAAAATTGGCTTTCACAATAAGTACCCTAATGATGGCCATGTTGACTGAAAATATGACCGATAGAACACAAAGCTCTCTATTAGTTAAGGTGGATTCAAATTTATCCCTTAGGCAAATATTCATCCAAGTTGATGTGAAACTACTGGGAGTTACTTGTGAAATTAAAAGGAATAATCAGTTAAAACTTGTAATGAAAATTATTGCTTGTAAATAAAGAAGAGTTAAGAATTCAAAGCATTCAACTTGCTTATGCCAAAGAAGCGCGTTTGATATTAACCGAAAAATCCAATCAAAATCCAAGATAATAATAAATACTAAGTACACATAGCATAATCCATCACTTAACAATGAGAGTTCACCTTGAGTACCTTCTCACTCAATCACTTTTAGGCTTTAGCGGAGAAAAAGATGAACCATACGAAGAAGGATATTACCACTAGGAAGACGACGTCGAGGACCTTCGTTGATGAATAAATAGCCGACGGTGGAGGAGGTGGTGGGTGCTCGATGATTATCCAAAGACTCGGTTGAAGCTGCTCTTCAATCGATAATATTAGTTGGTATAAGATGCGGTCGATGTATCCTTCCACAGTTTCGCTGTTGCCAAAGAAGACATCAAAGAACGGGGATCCAAGAATGTCCATCCTCCCTTGCTTGTCGAAGACAAATCCGTGGTCGACCTCAGGGTCAGCCATACACCATTGGTAGGAGGAAGGGAAGAAGTCGTTTCCTTTTCTTAGCTTCAAATATCATGAGGGTTAAGGTTTTCCAAAGGAGAAGAGGCAAGTGGAGGGGCGGCCAAGGGTGGAGAAGAGGGGGCGGTTTGGATGAGGGAGAATTAGGTTAGATTAGGGAGAGAGAGGAAGAGATTTTATGCAAATCTTAAATTAGTTTCAGATTTTAAGTAGATTTGGAGGGATTTAATTTGAAATTTGAATTCAAATTGAGGGATTGAGAGCTTTAATGGGAATTAATGGGAAAGCCATCAATGGGGTGGCCGACGGCATTGAGAGAGGGATGGAATTGGGGAGGAGTTTTGGGGAGTTTCTAAACAAGGTTTGTGAATCAGGAAAGCTAATAATAAATCCAATATATTTGAATTTAAATTGAATTCATGACTAAATAGTTTCATAATTAGGAATTCTAAATATAGAAAGAATTTGAAATTCAAATTTGAATTTCAAATGGGATTAAATCCTTTCCTTTTCTTGTTGGGGTTAATGTAGGAAGTCATTAAGGTGATGGGGATCACCATAATGGTGGGAAAATATGGGGTGGCCGGCGGCAAGGGTGATGGGGAGGAGTTGTCGTCGGGTTGGGTGGTGGAAAAGGGCTTAGGTCGGCGGGTGGTGCTTTGGAATGGGGAGTTCGAATGGACTTAGATGTGGTATTTCGGAGGGGGGGTGGTGGTGAAGATGTGGGAGAACGCCATAAATTGAAGATGGAGAAAGAAAAGAAACAAATAAGAAAATCACGAGCACGGACTCTTCCGATGATTGTTGGGTGTTGCGCTTGTCCACTCGTTGGGCTCTCCCTTCTCTCTAATGCACTCACAAGAAGAAGAAGAAGACAAAATAAAATATCATATCATTCATCAAACTTCTTACAACACATTAGACCACTATATATAGGTCTCAATCATGAAAAAGGAAATACGCAATTGCCCTCTGGGCTACAATAACAAGACAATTCCCCAAAGGGTTAAATTCGGAAAACAACAAAACTAAATAAACATAACATGAAGAAATGCATCAAAATAAAGGCGCTGAATCGTAGCCGTAGATCTGTGATTCCTTTGTCGATAAACTTGTCGGTAGCATATGTCGATGTCCTCATCACAAGTTCTATAAGATCCATTGGATAAAGCAACCCATGGCTACCGACAAGGATCCTTTTATCAGCGATAGAATCATAATGATCCGGGACCATAATGACCCGGGACGATGAAACCATGGGATATTGATCGGGTTCATCATCATTCCTCCCACTATCTATTTTAAGTATAAGGTGGTGAATTTCTAATTTTAAATATCAGATTTTCAAATACCTAAACATGTTGTTACTATACGCTAGACACTTTGTATTTGTTTGATGACTAACCTTAATTGAAAGTTCTCTCTCGCTATCGAGAGGGGTAATTAACTATAGGGGCTTGCGCCTATAGGGAACCTGAACTTAGATTATAAAGTCCTCGCAAAATGAGGGCAAAATCTCTGGGTGATGTCTTATTCACAACCCAATCTACCTTCTAAAAATTTGCCTCTGAACTTGAGCGTTAAAACTCTCCTCGACGACACGAAAAAAATAAAGGGGCCGTGGAGAGGCCGGAGCGTGAGTTTTCAGAGCCCAAAGGGCCACAACCATAGTACAACATCACACAACCTAATATAAGACAGCTTCAATTGGAGTCTCAGTTTTAACGTTAGTTAAAATCATTTCATTTTTTATATTTAATTTTCTTTTGTAAATAATGGGTTTGAAATTGGTTTAAAATAATATTTAACTTGCCTTATTGACTAAATGATTTTTGTGAAGCCATTCTCATACTTTTAATTCTTTTTTTAAAAATAAATTTAAATTTAAATAACAATAGCTTACTTGATCAAAATTCAAGATTAAAAATAATTTAAGCATTGTTAAACCACATTCAAAATATGTATTATTTTTCTCAGTTACATCTCTTGTTGAGATCCATTTTGATCAACAAGATGAAAAAGTTAAGGGGCTATTTTGTTTGCTCGAAAGGAATGTAGAGTAAAAAGGGAATTCAATGAAAATTAAACATAGTGTATTTGAAGTATCTAGAAGGGTTTTGTTGACATGTTAATCAAATATCGGAGATTATTTTTTTTGTGTTTAGTTTGAACTAAATAAATTCAGTATGAAGCTTGGAACGGTGATTAATGGTGGAGGCAACCGGCGGCTTGTAGCAACTCGAGGTGGGTGGTGGCGGCGGCAAATGGTGGTGGTGGGTAGCTGTTGGTGCCAACAATGGTGGCTTGAGGTAGCAAGAGATAGTGGAGGGACGGTGTATTTGAAAATTGGACAACATCAATTGATGTTAGAGTACAACAAAAATGATCGTAGGATTAAGTTTTAAATTCATCAAAATTTTACATTGATTTTTTTTCATCAAAACCAAATAGTTAATTTGAAAAACTCATGCATTTGGAGAATTTTATACCCAAATTCATCATAACTAACAGTCCGTAAGGCAAAGATAAAACAATGCTAGGAGAAATGAAAAATATGGCATGTAACTGTATTTTATTCCTGCATGGATTGCAAGGAAGTCAACTGACGTATTTGTGAGATACAAAAGCATAATACAGTAATGAGATTCATATACTGGGGCACAGAGAACCGAATTAGAATTATTGAAAGAATGAGATGCAAAGAGCTTTTTTTTTTAAAATCTAATTCAACAACAAACTATAGCTAATACGCATCAGATTAATTTGATATCATCATTCCAAGAGATGAAATAGTTGTTACATTATGGTGGTGGATTTAGATAAGATTTGCATCAGAAAAGTCAGTGCTTCTTCTAAAGGTAAACAAGCGATTATTCTTTATTAAGATAAAGCAGTTCATAAATAAGCTGACCTCCGATGAACTTGGGATTTATGATGTGAATAGGTGTAAACGTACTCTGTGGAGTTGGAATCCTCTCTGCGCCATATGCAGTTAAGGAAGGTGGATGGATGGGGATGTCCATACTGTTCATATATGCTGCGCTTGCCTTTTACACTGGGACTCTCTTGCGTCACTGTCTGGATAGTAGGCCAGGCCTTGAGACATACCCTGACATTGGTCAGGCTGCATTTGGAACTCCTGGTCGCATTATTTTGTCGGTGAGTGATAATGAATGTGATTCACTGTAATGTCCTTATACTTAAATTTCTTGGAATGCTAATTCCTATTTTCTACAATTTTTGGTGCAGATTATCTTGTACCTGGAATTGTATGTAAGTAAAAACTTAGTATCTTTGGCTAAGTTTGTTGGACTTCTCTGTTTATTTAACATTTCCAGCTAGTCAAAAGCGCTTCAAGCAAATGTGACTCAACTAACATAAACAATTATGCAGGCTTGCTGTGTTGAGCACATTATTCTGGAGAGTGATAACATGTCATCGTTGTTTCCAAATGCACATTTGGACATAGGTGGAATGCATCTCAATTCTCATCTGGTCTTTGCATTCTTAACGACTCTGATTGTTCTCCCAACAACATGGCTCAGAGATCTAAGTGTTCTAAGTTATATTTCAGGTTAGTGGAAATCCATTATCTTTTATTTTTACAGATAAATCATTAAAAATTTATCATTTCTCCTTTGAAACATCTGTTTTTGTTTCACACATCAGCTATATTTTCTATGCCCTGAATAGGGCTACAAATGAACCGAACCGAGCCGAGCCTTGGCATGTTCAAGTTCGAGCTCGTTTGTCAAAAGCATGTTCGAACTCGGTTCAAAGCTTGTCGAGCTTCATTGATAGCTGTTCGAGCTCGAGCTCGTTTAAATTTATATCGTTCGAGTTCAGTTCGTGAACAGTTCGAGCTCGATCAATTTCATGCTAATCGAGCCTCAAATCAAACAAGCTTATCTTAACAAACCGAGCCAACCCCCCGTGCTCAGAAATAAAAAACAATCAACCTCGTCTACTAAGCCCAGCCCGCCACACCTAGTTTGCATTGCCAATATGTCTTATTATATAGAGCAAAAGTTTTAGTGATTTCACAATGTGGGACAAATCAAGCTACAATTTTTTTTCCTCCAAGCGGAAGCCAAGGCGGGAATTGGGAAAGCTAAGGTGGGAGAGGAAAAAAAGTAGATTTGACTATTTCAGTTATATATATATATATATACATATAATTAGTTAAAATTAATTATGATATAATATTTTTTTTAATTAAATAAGACATAATCGAGCTTCTTCATTTACTTCAAGATTTATGTAAGTTTTAATATATATAGCGTGAGGCGTAAGCCTCAAGCCAGTGAGGCGGGGCGAGCCTTAACCAAGTTGAGGCGCAAGCCTCATAAAAAAAGCTCGAGGCGTAAGCATCGAGACGTTTTTTACTGGAATTACTCAAAGGAGGGCCTCAAGGCGAGCCCCATATTGCGCAATTTAAACCATGGTTCAAGCTTGTTCATTTACCTTATCAAATGAACATAAATGAGCTCTTATCGAGCCGAGCCATGAGTAGCTCGTCGAACGCTCGATTCATTTGTAGCCCTAGCCCTGAAAATATTGACAAGTGTGTAAGGGCTGCTTCACCGACGTCCGGATGCAGTGTTAAATAGGTAAGTGTTCTCACATCACATGGATTGATGTGGGCAAAAAAACTAGTCCATAAAATTTAATTAGGATATGAACTTGGAATAGAGGTTCCCTTAGAGACAAATTAATGAAATTATTAAATATTATGATTCATAAGAAGATAAATATCTTATGCATTCAGTAAATTAAATGGGTTGGAGAGAAAGGTAAGGAGATTGATAGTTTAGGATTTAAACTATGGTATTTTGATAGGAGTCGTGCTAGAAATGATGTAGATGTGATTATAAATAAGAGTTTTGAACTATAATATTCTAAAAATAAATAGATTTAGATATATAATTATAACTTTAAAGATTGTTGTTGATGCTAAGATTATTAATATTATAAGCGTTTATGCTGATCAAGTAGTTTGGATATATTTTCAAAATTAAAATTTTTGTATAACCTAGAAGAATGAATACAAAAGATATCTCTTGAGAAAAGAGTTTTTATTGGAGGAGATTTAAATGAACATATTGGTAGAGAGATAGATGGTTTTAAAACCATTCATGATGGCTATGGCTTTGGAGCGACTAATAAAGGTGGTAAGACTATATTAGATTTTTCTTTAGCTTATGATTTTGTAATTGCTAATACATTATTTAAGAAAAGAGATGAGCATCTCATCACTTATAAGAATGGATATAGTAAACTCATATTGATTATTTTCTTATAAGAAAAATAGATCGTTTAGATGACAATGACTATAAAATTATTTTGAGTGAAAGTTTATATATCCAACATCGCTTATTAGTTTTAGACTTTAAGATAAAGGCGTAGAAAATAAAAAATAAAATAAAACTTATTTTAAGATTAATGTGGGCATTTAAAGAATATTAACAAAAACTTTTTGAGAGTAAGATTCTAGATCTTAAAATTTTACCTGTGCATGAGGAAGCTAATGTTATGTGAAAAAAAAAATAGTTAGTGATATTAAGAATGTTGCAAAAGATGTGCTTGGAGTATCAAAGGGAAAAGCTATTAATAGTAAGAATAATTGATGGTGGAATCAAAATGTGCAAGTGAAGATAAAAAATAAGTATATATGTTATAAAAATTAGTTTAGCTGTAAAAATTTTGATAAGGAGGTCCATAATGAGTCTAAGAAAACAATATGCAATGCAAAGATTTTAGATTTTAATGATTTATATAATATATTAGATACTAAGGAGGGCAAAAGATATATGTATAAGTTGGCTAAACAAAGATATAGAAGTAGTAAGGATTTAATTCAAGTGAAGTGTATTAAGGATGAAAATAAAAAAATGCTTTTATTAGAAGGGATATTCAACAAAGATAAATGAGATATTTTGCTAAACTTTTCAATGAAGATTGTGAGAATGCCATTGACTTTAGTGACCTTAGAATTCCTAAATGAAAATAAAGATTTTTGTTTTTATAGGCGTATTATTAAAATCGAAGTTAAAGAGGCTTTAAAGAAAATGAAGTGTAAAAAAGCTGTTGGACCTAATGATATTCCAATAGACGTATAGAAATGCTTAGGAGATGAAGGAATTTCTTGACTTACTAAACTTTTTAATATTATTTTGAAGACTAAAGAAATGTCAGATGAGTGGAGAATGAGTTTATTGATTTCTATTTTTAAGAATGAAGGTGATGCACAAGATTGTGCCAGTTAGGTCTATTATGGAATCTGTATATTTATTGAGAGATTTGATGGAGAAGTATAGAGAGAATAAGGAGGATCTACATATGATTTTTATTGATTTAGAGAAAACATATGATAAAGTTCCAAGAGAAGTGCTATGAAGAGTTCTACATAAGAAAGGGTTTAATAATACTTATATTCTGGGCATTAAGGATATGTGTGCAGGAGTTGTTACTTGTGTTCAAACACAAGTTAGTTTGACCAAGTATTTTGCCATTTTAGTTGGATTACATCAAGGATCAGCCTTAAGCCCATAACTTTTTGCTTTAGTCATGGATGTTCTCACTAGACATTTGCAAGAGATTATACCCTAGTGATGCTTTTTGCTGATGATATTCTTTTTGTTGACAAGACTATGGAGGGAGTTGAAGGTAAACTTGAATTATGGAGGTCAACCTTAGAGTCCAAAGGTTTTCATTTGAGCAAGTCTAAAACTGAATATATGGAGTATAATTTTAGTAATAATAGATCTAGTGGGGGATTGTGACTTTGGGCAATCAAGTCATTAATAAAAGTACATGTTTTAGATTATCTCGGGTCTATTGTTCAAAGTGATGGTGAAATAGATGGAGATATTATTAGTAGAATTCAAGTTGGATGGTTGAAGTGGAGGAATACATCAGGTTTGTTGCAGTGCTTTATGGTGCAAAATGTTAGTCATTAAAAGATAAGCATAATATTAAGTTAAGTGTTGCAGAGATGCGAATGCTTAGGTGGATGAGTGGCTTTAATCTTAGAGGCATGATAAAAAATGAGCATATACGTGAAAAGGTTGGAGTAGCTGCAGTGCAAGATAAGATTATTGAGAGTTGCCTTAGATGGTTTGGTCACATAAAGCAGCGGCCTTCCGATGACCCGATTAGGAAAATAGATGTATTAGATTTGACTTATGTTAAGAAAGGTAGAGGTAGACCTAAAAGATTTGGTTAGAAAATTTTAAAAATGACCTTTTTTATTAGATTTAGATGAGAATTTGACTCTTAACATGACACAATGGAGAAAAAGATTCATGTAGCCGACCCTACTTAGTGGGATAAAGGCTTGTTGTTGTAGCTGTATTTTGAACTCAATGTTCTAATCTCAGAAGCTTGCAGCTGCTTTTAGTTTGTCTCCGTATAATCCAAAAAATCTTCTGTTGTTTCTATATAACACATGAAAAATGTACCTTTTGTGGCTGACAATATTGTTTTTCCAGTCACCTAATTGGCGAGCTTTCCTTGACCTTGCCTTTTGGCAGCTGGAGGAGTCATTGCAACTATATTGGTGGCTGTTTGCTTGTTTTGGGTGGGATTAGTGGATCAGGTTGGCTTCAAAAATGAGGGTTCCTCCCTTAATCTTTCTGGCATTCCAATAGCTATTGGCCTCTATGGCTATGCATATTCAGGCCATGCGGTTTTTCCTAACATATACTCCTCTCTGAAGAAGCCCAATGACTTTCCAGCAGTTCTTTTGACAAGGCAAGTGAAATTTAATACTTCTAATAAAGCTTGTTATCTTCAAAATTCACATCATCAACAAGATTCTTGGATACAAGTGCTTTCAAATCTTTATATAATGAATCCTGTATACTTTCTTGAGAGCAAACTGTTTTTTTTAATCATCTCTGCAATTTCAGATTATTTTTTTGCATTTTTATTAGAAGTTATTTAACTAAAACTGGAACAAATGACTTGCAGCTTTGTCATTTGCACACTGTTGTTCACTGGGGTTGCAGTGATCGGATTTTTCTTGTTTGGAGAATCAACACAATCTCAGTTTACTCTTAATATGCCACAAGGGTTGGTGGCTTCTAAGGTTGCTGTTTGGACGACGGTAATAATATATTACCATTACTTTTTCTTCAACAGCATATTTTCTTTTTATTTTGTCGGGTAAAATTTGCACGTTATATATTGAAGAAAATCCTCATGTTCCGGATTCCTGAATCACAAGTATGACTGAGGTTTATAAAGTTTTGATAAATATCACTTTACTAAAGCATTATTTTATTGTAACACATTCCTTTTTTAATGGGTTTCCTGTATATAATCAACAGCATTTATGGTGTGGGTTCGGCTTATAAAACAAATCCCGGTCCTAAATAATTTTGTACTTGGTTTATTCATGACCTATGCTTGACATGCATGCATTGGGACTAAAATATGATAATAGGTTGTTTTTAGTTTGGGTGAATGAATGAAATTGATGCGGAATTGTTGCTGGCTGGTTCCTTGAGTGATGGCTTTTGGATTTAGGCTTCGTTTGGGACAACTTTTGGTCAATACTTTCTTGATATTTTTAAAACAAAAAAAATTACTAAAAAATTATTTTAGAAAGTAGTAAGATAACTATTCCAAACAAAGCCTTACTACCTTTGTGCTTTTTTTGAGGCAGTGGAACTTTGGCTTTATCTGCTTGATTGCAGATGTGGTTCTTTAATTTTCCAGTGGGACAATAGCTGGGTATAGGTTTTATTACTTTGCTGTGGCTGCGGAGTTCCATTGTTTTTTGTTTAAGTTGCTGGATTACTTTCAGAATGTGGATTGTTGCTCAAGTTGCGAGTGTGGGATTGTGGATCTTCAGGGATCCCATGACTTTGAAATTGGGAAGTTATGTGAAAGATTGTTGTCTTAAGGCTTCTATGAGTTGTTTGGCTGTGGATGGTTATTTTGGATTATGGTTGGAATTGATTAATTTAAATTTGAATTGAACTAATCATATGCAAATCATATTTACTTGTTTAGGAACGAAGAGTCTGTAAATAATTTTTTTGAGCCATGTAAAGAAAAATAATTTTAATTTGAATGAAGAATTTTATGAGTGTAAGAAGAATTTTATGAGTGTGAGTTGGATGTGTGATTTTTTCAAATGTAATATAGGTTACAAGATAATGTTTGGAGTAGTCATTTCCTTGTGTTGACATGAGGCATGGTTTTATTATTTTGTTTTGTTTTGTTTTTTAATTCTTTGTTCTCATGTTATCTATGTAGTTTGATATTAGCTTGTTAGTACTCTTAATTTTTTTCAAAATTTGACACACTACAATTAAAATATATGAAAATTTATATCAAAATTATTTACTGATTTTATGTATTTCTAGTTCCACATTGTGGGACAAAGGCTTGATGTAGTTCCACATTAATCCTTCTTTCGTATTATTTCGATGATTATGTTATCTATTGTGTTTCTATTTTAGTTTTTATTTCAGTGATGTATGCTCTCATTTAAAAGAAAATAAATGGTTGAATTATTTGGTAGCTTGTAATCTGTGAAATCTTCAATTATCTTTTACATGTAATCATACTTTGCATTGTTTGTTGAATTTAAGTATCATAACCCGAGTCTTACTTAAGAAAACATTCGATTTTTATCATTGGTTTGGATATTATTGATGTTTCTTCTTAAAATTTGTCAAAGTAGAATCTTGATTTTATTCCTCTCTTGCATAACATCGTTTTTACTAAAACGAATTCCTGCTTTCCAATTTCAAGCCCGTTATCAAATTGATCTTATCATCTTATGTCATATGAATCCTGATGATATGCATGTTTATTACTAGGATCAAGGCATCATAACAGATTTGTAATTAACAAAGAATTTCATTCCTAAATTAAAGCCATATCTCTAAATTTCATTGTTTAATTCCATATTTGGTTACTAATTTATGTCAAAAAGTTCACCAGTCCTAAAATATCTCTGCAACTTATATATTTTTCATATCCTGAAAAATAGAGTCAACCACTGATATTTGTTCTGTCTCTGTTTTTCTTGCAGGTTGTAAACCCCCTAACAAAATATCCTATACTCAGTTAAATTTATGTTTTTTCATCTCTTGAAGGATGCACCCCTAACAGAAATCTATAGGTTTTGAGTAGTGGAATACTTTATATCTGCTTTCTCATCACATAATAAAGCTATCCCTTAACTACAGCTTACATATGCATTGTGTTTGACTCCAATGGCACTGAGTTTGGAGGAGCTGATACCGCGAGATAATCTGAAATCTCATTTCTATTCCATCATTATCAGAACAGCTTTGACACTATCAACCTTATTTGTGGCTCTTGCCATTCCTTTCTTTGGTATGTGAATTATTACTCTGCCCCGCACCCCTCCTGACTGACTTACAATGCAATTTCTTCATTTTTTATTCACTTAAAACTATTCGTTGTTATTAACTGGATTTTCCATTAATAATGAGCATGTTAAGAATTCTAGTCAGTAATTTGGATCTAGTTGTATGGCCTCAAACTCCTGATTTTTCCAATGTGAAATATTTGTTCAGTACTAAGTACTAACAATTAAAAATTGTGTACTTGTACCTCTTTCTTATTAAACTTCAGGTTTGGTAATGGCACTGATTGGATCTTTACTCACTATGCTAGTCGTAAGTCTCTTTATCTTTGTGCTTTGGAAGCTTTAGCACCTAAACATTGTTTAATAAAAATGTTTATGTTGTGGCAGTCATTTGTTTTTCCATGCATCTGCTTTTTAAGCATCATCAGAGGTAAAGCAACACCAACTCAGGTATTCTCGAAGCATTACCCTTGAATTTTTTGCCATTATATGACAATTGTGGAATATTTTGTTCAGTATTTTTTTAAACGCAACCTTCTAGCAGGAGCGGTTGAGAAAAAGGCTTGATTTAGATTTTTAATCTTTTTTTGATTTGTAAATGTTTGGAACTCAAGTTATCTTAAACTTGAAAATGTATACATCGAACATGTACGACTTTTGTGATGAATGTTTATTAATCAGTAAACTTCTTAGAAATGAATAATTCACAAGAAAATCACTCAAATAAGTGTATGGAGCTCTATAATTATCAGCCTGAAATAGGCATGAAAACTAAGTGTATGGAACGTCCACTCATCCCTAAACCCTAAACTAAGTGTATGGAGCTCTATAATTATCAGCCTGAAATAGGTATGAAAACTTAATTTAATAGCTCTCTTGATTTTCCTTTTGGAACGTCCACTCATCCTTAAAACATCTTGAGTATAAATATCGAAGGTTATGCAGCACAAGATACAGACCAGCTAAAGTATCAAATTAAGACACTGCATTAAGATTTGGGTCATTCATCATTAAAACTCTCCATGCGATCTCATGAACAAATTCATAATCTCTCTAAAATTATTTGAGAATAATTAAAAGACATAAATTAAGATCTTTTGATGGGTAAGTGGGCCATACTAGTTAAAGAAGCAAAAATCCTCAAAAGCTACTGTGTGCTTCAAAAATTCGAGCTTTAGGGCTCCGGCCTCTCCGCGTTATATTCGGTGAGTGTTGTAATGACTTATGTTCCAAGTTAAATTTTCGGAAGGTTAATTAGATAGAGATAAGACACTACCTAGAGATTTTGCCCTCTTAGCAAGGACTTTAAGATCTAAATTCTGGTTTCCTATAGGCTCAAGCCCTTATAATTAATTATCCCTCCCAATAATAGGAGAGAACTTTCCATTAAGGTTTGTCGTTGAACAGATACGTATTATCTAGTGTATAGTATAACAATTTTAGATTTAAAATTTAATATTTAAATTTAAAAATTCATCATCTTGCACTTAAAGAAGACGCTGGGGGGAATGATGATGAACCCAATAAAGATCGCATGGTTTCGTCATCCCGGGTCATCATGGTACCTAGATTACTTAATCAGAGAAGGTAGTCGACCCAACCTAACCGAAGAATCCTTGTTGGTAGACATGAGTTGCTTCGTATAATGGTACTTTATAGACTTGGGGTGAATATTTATCTAAGAGAAGAATTCAAGCCAACCTTAGCTAAAAAGGGCTTTGTGCCCAATCGATTATATCCTACTCAATAATAAATAGTCATTGTGAAACTACAGGCTTTTAGCCATGATCATAATACAGTGGAGCCATTCAACGAAGCCACTAGGTGAAAGGGGCATAGTCATAATTGTTAACAACTTGGAGCCATTCTAACTAAGTCACAGGTTCTTTATGGGGCCATCTGGCCAAACCACTGATTAGAGGATCAGTCATAACAATACCACGTTGAGCCGTCTGGCCAAGCTCTGTCACGACCCGGCCCGGATACTTGATCTAACGAGGCGGGTACGAAAAGTCGGACGATAAAATTCATTAAACATAATACTACATCATTAGATTCGAACGGGGCTCGATCGAGGAGAGGATCGCAGGATTCGCGGAGAAGCGATGCAAACGGCGCCGAATCGGCGCGATTTGCGGCAGAATTCGCGGGATTTCAGTCCGAGGTACGTACATATTTTTGCCATTTTTGTTTCTTTGTATATAGAGTTTAACAGAATCTTAGTGATATTCTCGACTGGACATTGCTCTTTGTGGGCTAGAGTTATCCTTGGTTTCATCGCCCTCGTCAAATAGTTGCGGAGGGTGGATGAATTTTTTTTAAGTAATTAAATGATTAAATTTTAATTTTAAATATAAAATTCTAAATAAATGTAAAGCTTTAGAGTTTTTGGTAGGATTCAAAAAATTAATCAATCCGGTTGATATTAGATTTCAACACCATTATCATCGAGGTGATGTTATAGTCATTTGAAAATGTTTGTATTTATAGAAAATTGGAGGCATTTGAAAAGGTAGTCTTTTCTAATTGAGATTACTTTTGACATGATCATCATCGGGGTGACGTTATAGTCATTTGAAAATGTTTGTATTTATGGGAATTTGGAGTCATTTAAAGGGTAGACTCTCCTTCGATTGAGCTTTCAACATGACCATCATTAGAGATTAAAGTATTTAGTTATTTTAGAACCTTATCAACTCTATTCTCTTGTTATCAAAGGATCGGGTTCAATTATAGATATTGTGAGTTATCATACAAACTTTGAAAATATTGTGAGTTATCATACAAACTTTGAAAACCGTGAGTTATATTTGATGATAAATTTCATCTAAAGAGCATTTGAAGGCCTAATGTGAACTTTAAAATTAAAAATCTCGATAGATTTGTGATTATGGGTTTGTTTGTAATCCAAGTCATGTTGACTCCAATCCTTTGAAGGAGGAGAATAAAACTTGAAATTTTGACCAGCTCAGCATTCTCAAACCTTAAGATTAGGAGTTCAATGTAGCGGTTAGAGCACATGTGAGTATTAAATTCATGTGCTTGCTTCTCGAAGTAGTTACTCGTTTCTCGAGGTGGTAGCATATTTCTTGGGGTTGTCGCCTGCTTCCTAAGATTGCTACACACATTTAGATTTAGGGAACTTTATTTTGATGCATGAAGGGATACTTTAAAATACTTAAATATAATTAATTACGTAAGTAATTATCATTGGAAAGTGCGCAATATTTGAAATTAAAGAAAAATGCCTTATATTTTCTTTTACGAATGTTGCGGATCCAGTGGCGTGAAAGCAAGTTAGGTTTTAACTATTGCATATAGGAGAGATATTGCTTAGTTCATTTTGCTTCCTTCAATTTATCATTTAGCACAGTTCATAGAGAGGATATTTGTTCAATCAGCACTAGGAGATTGTGTTCATTGCTTGGATGTTGCCCATCAATAATTGGATTTCATGCTCTTCTTTCAGTTATTGTTCATATTTCATACTCAAGTTTCATTAGCGAGTGATATATTTGGTCATTGACTCATCTCTTCTCTTCTTCTCCAATGCAAGGTCAGTAATGGTTGTCTTCTCTATAGCACTAGAGAGTCTCTTTATGAATGTAGTATCAAGCTCAACGAAGGTTTTTATCATATCATTTGGTAGCGTACCAATTAAAAGGGGTTGATTTTAAACTACTAACTAATTTATGATATAGTATGTTAGACTGTTCCATACAGGACTGGTTTATGGACAACAGAGGTGGGACTTCTTCGCCTTCTGCATATGCTTATCAAACCGCCCAGTTTAAAAGAGTATATTAGGAAGGTTTTAGGAGGAAAATTTGAATGTAGGGACAGTTTAGATATTTCCTTTGGATTGTATTCATTAAATAGTTTGTTTCCTAGGTTAAGGCATATTGAAATTGGCTGAAATTTGAGATCTCTCTTAGGTGTTGAGCTTTAGCGACATCTAGAGATTTGGGAGAGCCGGGTCATCCTCTCCAAATGGAGATCCACTTGTATCTTATATTCTTTCATAAAACTTTCAATAAAAAAGTGTTCTTGTGTGTTTTATTCCTAGTTTTCTTGTTAATTTTTATGAAATTGCTAAAATCAAATTTCAGCCAAGGTTTTTTCTAAATTTTTACAAGCATTTCCTATCAAATTGGTATCAAAGTGGTTTCCGGACTATTTTTGGGCTATGTTTAGATAATTCTTGCATTAGTTTTTTTTTCTATTTCAGACCGTGAAATTTGTTATTTTTGTGGTGAAAATCCGGATTTTCGAGCCTGATAAAGATCCGGGGACTTATGACAGGAAGGATGGTAGAAGGATTAGAAGGGAAGATCAGACAAATGAAATATGAAATTTTGAATCTCCAAAGTCAAGTTTTAGATTTAAAAAAGGAATATTTCAGTCATCCATGATAAGATCGATTCAAATTTTTTCCATCCTTGGGATGTTAAAGTAAGTGCTCGAGGGACAAACCAAAATATTGCCGGCAAAGATGTGGGAAGGCGCTGACAGCCAGGGAAGTGTGAAAAATTCTGAGCCAGGAAAACGAAGAGAAGATCAAGAGGTGGAGATTTTGGAGGGAGCAGAAAGAGGCAGGAGGAAGTAGGGAAAGAACAAAGAGGTGCTGATTTGGAGAAAAGAGGCGTGGGATTTGAAAGGGAAAGGGGTAATAATGACCAAAAGGCAGCTGAATTTGAAATGGGAGGTATTTGTTATGATCCAAGGAGTGCTGAATTTGAAAGGAGAATGTGGGAATTTGATGAAAGGCTGGGGTATGAATGTAGAAGGGATGATTGGGACACTTGCGGGGAACCACCATCTTGGAGAATGAAAAATTATGAAGGGAACAAAGGGAATGGAAGCGATCTAAGGGTGAGGAAGTTGAAGATGTCTATTTATGAGGGAGAGGATGCCCATGGATGGATCTATAAGGTAGAAAAGTACTTTATTGTCAACAGGTTGACAGAGGGAGAAATACTGACGACAGTTGGGATGTGCTTGGAAGGGAAGGCTTTAGCATGGTACCAATTAGGGGTGTCAATTCTAGGTCACGAGTCGGGTTCGGGTCGAACCCCTGAATTGACCCAGCACTATTCGGGTCAACCCGAACCCAACCCATTTTTGTATATGGTTCGGTTTTGAGGACCTGAACCCGATCCGCTTTGGAATGGACAACGGCATGCCGGGTCACGCTTCGGCGTTCGGCAACAGCAGCAGACTCGACCGCGGGACGAGCGGACTCGACCGCGAGATGTTGGATCGCACCATCGCGGGCAGTGATTGGATCGCGCCATCGCGAGCACTGACACTGCCGAACTGGGCAGTTGGATCGCGGGCAGTGGCTGGATCGCCCCATCGCGGGCAGTCGAGCACTGCCGCACTGGGCAGACGCGTCACATACTTAAGCGTGGCACTCGGCAGCGAGTCGATGCTTGCGAGCAAAATGACGCGGGTAGAGTGGGTAGACCGGGCAGCCGAGTCATTCCGGGTTCCCAGGTCAACTCGAACCCGACCCGCTTCCGGTTAAGGTCAACTCAAACCCGAAATTTTTGGGTCGGGTCAAATACTCACACCCTTAGTACCAATGGAGAGATATATAAGACGGTCAATGCGGACTTGGAGAGAGTTTAAGGAAAGCTTGTTGGAACGTTTCCATGTCAGTAAGGGAGGGAACTTTTATGTGCAGCTCTTTGCTTTGATATAGGAGGGGATAGTGGTGGAGTACCGTGAGCAATTTGAGTACCTCGCCAGTTGATTGGTTCGACTTCCAAAGACTATACTGGAGGGGAACTTTATGAAAAGACTAAAATCAGAGATCCACACAGCGGCTAGAGCGATGAAGCCTCATGACTTGGGAGAGGCTATGGAACTAGCTCAGTTGGTGGAGGATCACAGGCACCTGGAGAGAGGAACGAGAGGCAACAACTCAAGAGGCTCGTACAGGATGACCACCTCATTGGCATTGAAGGAGCCAACACCGAATACTCTTTAGGGGACTTTGAAAGAATAGAATACAGGAGGAAGACCTGGGGACAACTTCAAGAAATTCACAAAGACGAAATTACAGAAGAAGAGAGCGAAGGGGCTCTGTTTCAGATGTGATGGGAGGTATATGCCAGAGCACAGGTATAAGGACCAAACTCTTTAAGTTCATACCTTTTGTGATGAAGAGGAAATGAAGGAGCGTGTCGTCTTTCCACCTTGCGGACAAGGTGGGTCTTTGGGAGGGGAGTATTGTTAGACCGATTCACTGGATCAGTCCAGTCGGTTCATACTGGACTGGCTTACGAACAACAGAGGCAGAACTTCTCCTCCTTCTGCATATACCGATCAAACCGCCCAGTTCAAAAGAGCATATTAGGAATAGTTTTGGAGAGAAATTTGAATGTAGGGACTCTTTAGAGATTTCCTTTTTGATTGTATGCATTAAATAGTTTGTTTTCCTAGGGTTAGGACATCTTGAATTTGCCTAAAATTTGATATCTCTCTTAGGTTTTGGGAAATAACGCCTAGAGATTTGAGAGTTCCGAATCTTCCTCTTCAATTGAAGTCCACTTGTATCTTGTATTTTCTTTCATAAAACTTTCAATAAAAAAAGTGTTCTTGTGTATTCTACTTCTCTAGCACAATTCTCGTCTTGCAATATTTTATGAAGTAGGGTGTGCTCACAATATTTTGTGAAGTAGGAAAATGAACAGGACAATCAATTTCATTTCCCCCTTCCTGCGTAATTCGTACTTCAAACACTTGGGGTATAAGGTTAATTAAATAATTAAAAAGTTTAATTTTAACTTTTTTATGCATACGCTAGCTATATCAGTCAAGGAAGCAAACATCCTAAAAAATTGTTTAATTTTAGAACCACCCACTTGCCTTATTTGGCCAATCCAAATTTTTTATATTTTTAAAAGTTTTAAATTAAAATTAATTTCCTTATTTTCTTTCCTTTTTATGTTAAAATAAACTATCAGTTCATGTAATAATATTTTATTGGCTCCTATGACTTTAAAATTATATAGGCTTAGAAAAACCTATAAATAAAAGCTTATTTTATACTTTTAATTCATTGAATAAAAATCTACTATACGGTGAAGCTTATTGGCTGATCTCTTTGGGCTTTGGTGAGTCCCTAATATCTTTTCTTCTCCTTTTTTTACTTCTCTAGCATAATTCTCGTCTCCTCTATAGAACCTCCATCATAGTTTCTCTCAATCCTCAAATTAATCCAACATCTTCAAAACTCTCTCAAATATTCCTCCTCATCCTTCATAACCTTCCAGGGCCTAAACTTGCCAATAATCAAAAAACACCCAAGCCAAAATCCAATATAGAGAGAGAATTTTCTACATTTAGCAACTATATTAAAAATATTACAACTCTTTAAGTACTAATAAAAAATTCATAAAAACATCAACATTGGTTTATTAATATCTCAAGCATTTAATCTAGATCTTCTCATCATTTTTTTCTAAATAAAAGAAGTTGCTCTTTAATAACTTAAAAAGTTTTAGCATCAAATTTGTCCAAATTCTAAATACTCGTTTCAAAAACCACTCAAATAGTCATTCCACCACTACTCTAAGGACACACTAATCAAGTTATTGCCTTCATCATAAAGATCCTATAGACCCTACATCATAATATCCTTTTCTAAATTCACATAGTTATCTATTTAGCTTAATATCTTATTTGAATTTCATAGTTTATAAGCCTTTGACCAGTAAGAATACACAGATTTAAACAATATTAACAAACAAAGAGTCTTCTTAAGTGGTTTGTGTAAAGATAATAATAATAATAATAATAATTCAAATATATGCAATGTTTCTCTCTCTCTAGGCCTCTTCCCCCTCTCACATTGACATAGACATACTATAGTTACCAGCTTTAATATTTTCTTTGTAGCAAATAATACAAAATGGTTGTATAATAGGTTTAATATGTTTCATGAAGAATTTGCTGAACTCCTCAGATAACATTTGGCAGTAAGAAATAAGAAATAAGTACTCATAAAGCCGATACTAAATAGTTGAGATAAGGCTAACAGTGGTGGATGGAGAGCTGTAGAGAGGTAGAGGGAGATGGAAAGAAAATAGCAATGTTGAAACTTGAAAGGATAAGATATACTTCAATTTTCTGTCATAACACATTCTGCAATATGCAACATATAAAGATAAAACGATAGATTATTGATGTTTGTATTCAATTTCACTTTGTATATCACGTAATAATTGTTCACATGTAGGTAGTGATGTGCATCCTCATTGTATTGGTTGGAGTCACTTCGTCAGCATTGGGCACTTTCTCCGCAGTCTCCAAAATTATAAATAATCTGCTTTGATCTCCTCCCTTTTGCTACATTGTTCTACACGGATTTAATAATCACTTCTTGTATTTTCTTCCTTTCTTACTCGACTTAACTTGTTTCATTTTCCTTGTTTGAGTATAATTTTTCCTAACTGCAGCATTGAAATAGTTAGCACTTTTGGCAAGAGCATAAAATTGTATGCATGTTTATTGTTGTTTTTTAAGATCTATCTGAATATCTGATCTGAGATTTTTGGGATCCTTACTTTCATATTCTTATTTATCTTATCTATTTGGTGATTGTCATGTTTACTAACTTTCTTTGGTGGAATTCATTCATTTGGGGATATATATTTCGTTGCAAATATAGGCTTCATTCGGGGCAGCTTTCTTACCATTTTTTAAAATAGTTTTTTTTTGTACAAAAATCTTTAATTCAAAGATTTTTGTAAGGAATTTTTGTACTAGAAAAATATTTTAGAAATCAACAAAAAAATTGTTCCAAAGAAAACCATAATTACAAATCTTTTTTTTTTCTATTTGTATCGATGTATTTGAGGTCTGAAGGATATTTTAGTGTACAATCATGATTTTATTTTTAACTCAAAGATTTTTGTGAGGAATTTTTGTGCTAGAAAATTATTTTAGAAAGCAACAAAAAAATTATTCCAAAGAAAACCATAATTACAATTTTTTTTTCTATTTGTATCGACGTATTCGAGGTCTGAAGGATATTTTAGTGTACATTCTTTATATATGTAACTGTTCATAACCTTAACAATCGAGATATTATTTGTGTTGGCTTAATAGTTTCATTATTTTTGTCCCTTTGCTGTAACTTCACATGAGATCATCCATTCTATGAGTGCTTCTGTATGAGTATGCTTAACTTTGGAGTTTCTATTGAAATTCCAATTGTTATACTAAAAAGAACTTCAATGTTTAGGATTTTAGCTTTATTTTCTTAAGGGATTTCATAATATCTCTAATTTAGATAATTGATGTCTTGTTAATTTCCTTAGTCTAAAATGATCCACGAGATTAAAAAAAAAAATTTTAAAGGTAAAGTTCTTATCTTCTAGCTGGTATATCTCTTTGATACCATTTTTGATAGTCCAAATCCCTAACCATTGAGATATTGTTTACTTTGGCTTAATGGCCTCACGATCCTAGGAGCTCATGTACAAGTGCGATTAATCTTAGAGTTTCTATTAAAATTCTGATTGTTATACTAAAAGATGTCTCGATGTTTAAAAGTTTAGCTTTATTTTTGCAAGAGATTTCACAGCATGAGACTAATTTTATAGTGTGATGATTATGGCAACATGTATTATTTTATTGAATGTGGTATGTGGATGTTGAAAGCTATGTTTCATTTTTAAGTTGTTAAATTATTATGGGGGATTTATATTTGTAGCACTAAAAATTATCTAATATACATATTTTATACCTAAATTTTATTATTTATGACATCTAGTATTTTTATTAATGGCATTAGCTGGTATCATTGGATACTCAGTATAACTCGTAGGCAATAGGGACTGTATAGTTCGCAAAATTGGAAGGAATTTCTTTTTGTTTTACTCATTAATAGATACATGAGCAATTATTAGGTCCTTTCACTGGATGTAGAGGAAGGTTCGGTTTTAGGCAAAAATAGGTCAAAAAGTGCAAATACCGAGTTTTTCAAAAAACTCGGTATTTTTTCAAAAAACTCGGTATTTGCACTTTTTTAGGCAAAACCAAACCTTCCTCTAGGTCCTTGCACCGGACCAAATAAAAATCCATAGATACACATAGACTCTAAGCATTAATTTTAAAATACAGCAAATAACTCATTAATATTTTTATTTATCTCTAAAAAGTTATGTAGTAAAATAATTTATCAGAAGTACAGTCATGATACAAAATTATCATTTAATCATCAGAGATACACCATGGTTGCCATTAGGGGTGTTAATTCGGGTCAACGGGTCAGGTTCGGGTCGAACCTGGAATTGACCGGTACTGTTCGGGTCAGCCTAAACTCCACTCGTTTTTAAAATGGGTTAGGTTTTCGGACCAAAACCCGACCTGATTCGGGTCCGGGTCAACTGACATGAAGTTGACCTAAAATTGTTAGTTTTCGGATCAAAATCGGGTAAAAAACGAGTTAATCTTGGGTTTTCGAGTCAAATATGAATTTTCGTATCAATTTCGGATCATTTTCGGGTTGCTGGGTCAACCCGAAGGGTCAATCTCTGGTTTCCGAGTCAAATAGGAGTTTTTGTATCAATTTCGGGTCATTTTCAGGTTGTTGGGTCAACCCGAACCCGACTCGATTTTTAAAATGGGTTGATTTGTCGGGTTCGGGTTGACCCTAACCCGGATTTTCCGGGTCGGGTTCGGGTCGTGTCAAAAATTGACACCCCTAATTTTTTTATTTTTTGATAAAAAAAATTAGTAAGTACGAGTAAACCACAACCCTATAGGTAACATGTAACCTGCCCATTCTTAATAATAAACAAAATAGTAAATAAATATATTATTTTATCATGATAGAAATAGTCTCTCACATAAAAGCTTGGCTATTTTCAACTGAGTACCAATATAATAATTCAATCAGATAATAGAAAGAACAAGCATTCGCATGTAATAAAAATAATCACGTCAGATCAGTCTCCCTCTCAGGCCCTTATACATTGGGTTGATCAATAGTTGGTGATGGCATGACGATGGTGGGATGACAGCCATTAGCGATGAATTTTTTTTTTTTTTTTTATCTGCGAATGGAAGCTCTTAATTCCTTTAACGTAATGGAATTAACAAATAAAAAATCTTATTGGTATTAGTATTTAACACGACCTAAAAATATGATTCGAATTCGAATTAGGTTGGATTCGAGTTAGGAATTTCGACTCGTTTGTAAAATCAGGTCGGATTTGGGGTTGACTAGGAAGCCTGAAATCAACCCTGAATTTTGACATGTTTTTAATTAGTTTAGGAAGGTTTTAAAAGATTGTTATGAAATAAAGAAATACTATTTTCAAAAAATAATAAATCATATTGTTCAAATTGAATTAAGCTTGATTTATTTTAAATTAATTAACGTAAATCTTACCTTAATTTAATTTAGGTTTAATTCAATATAATTAAATAAAAAAAATTTAGTAAAGCATACTCGAAGAGGGTAAGGTTTGGGTCCGAAAACCGATCCATTTGCAAATATGGGTCAGGTTTGGATCGGGTCAAACAGTGCTGGATCAATTCCGAGTTGGACCTATCCGACCCGTGACCTGATTTTCATAGCCCTGAATTATAGTGACATATCACAAATGAGAATTGAGACGTCTGATTTTGATATTATTGGATTTATCTCATCAAACTCAATTAGGGGTGCAACCGAGTCAAGACGACTCGTGAGCCGGCTCGAACTCGACTCGGTAACAAGCTCGACGAGTGGAGCTCGCGAGTCGAGCTCGAATACGAGTTCGCTCTCGACAGCTAATCGAGCTCGAGTTCGAACATGCCTCAGACTCGACTCGTCGGCTAGACAAGTTGCTCGACAGCAGTGCTCACGGAAATCCAAATTTGGCAGGTATGAAATTCAAATATCACAAACGGGAAATCCAAATCACAGAGCGTGCTCGGATCTAGATTGTGGACGAGTTTGATACGACAACGACGGATGCGACTAGAGCTTGGAACAATCATGGCTTTGCTCGGGACAACGATGGTCCATGGACGAGCTCCAGATGATGGATCTCAACGACAAAGCTCGTCCAGAGCTCGTCAAATCTAGGGACGACGACCTCGGGTGACGGATCTCAATGGCGAAGCTCAGGAAGACGACAAACGAGCTCATGACGACGGTTCTCGACGATGGATGTAACTATGAGTTTGAAACGACGAATCTTTGCTCGACGACGGATCTCTGCTCAATGAGGACGAGCTTTGGGTGACAACGAACCTCGGGATGACTGATGCGACGAAAAGGGATGGAACTCGGGACGACGGGCTCGACGGTGAAGCTCGACAAGCTAATCAACTTGAAGATCAGTCGAGCTTGAGCTCGGATTTTGAGCTCGACTCGAGCTTGGCGTTTGATAGTCGAGCTCGACTCGAACACCCCTGGCTAGAGCTCGACTCGACTCGACTCGTTTGCACCCCTAAACTTAATAGTATTAATTAATTTGTTTTAATCAGAGGGAAAATGACATTTGAATTAAATTTTAGTTTTGAATTCAATTTTGATTGTTCTCAGTTTCCTGTTTTCCCTTTTTGTCCCCGTCTTCTTGTTTGCTAGCCGCGCAGGCCCTTATCAATGGGCGCCTCATGGAGCTTTACTCTCCTTGGTGCCGCTGTCATGGATGACGGAACCCGATCCGTCATCAAAGCCATCGACGACTGCCTTTCCCATTTGGCTTTCCACAAAGAGCAATTACATCACAGTCCATCGACGATCTTCTTCAAAAAAATTAGTTTATAGCTCACCAAATTGGACGCCGAACTCGATCAGGTACCGCGTGGCTAATCTTCATCTTTGTCCGGTAGTTCTTCCTCGACACCTTTCTCTATTCCCGGGTTCTTAGCATCAAACCCTTTTCGCACCATTAAATTAGAAACGCCAATTCTAAGAAGAAAATTCAGAAACATGGATTAGAAAAGTTGAACAATTCTATGAGTTTCATAAATTATGTGATTCCGATAAGCTATCCCTAGCTTCCTTCCACATGTCTAGGTCGACGAAAGAATTGTTTCTTTGGGATGAAAACAACCACCGCATCTTCACTGGGCCTGATTTCTTGAAATTACTTCACTGTCGTTTTCTCCTATCTCATTATAAGGACTTCAGAGGTGAATTAACAAAACTAACACAGTTCGATCCAAGAATATCAACAACAATTTGAACAGCTTGCTTGTCTTATTCCTACAGTAGACGATTTTTTAAAAAAAAAAATAAAGTTGTCTGGGCATAAATATGGAACTCCCCTATGAGTTTGCGAATAAATAATTTCCCCTAATCACAATCTAGGTTGTAGAGGCATCATACATTATTGGCACATCATTTGATGGAAAATGTTCTATATCATTAGCCTAAAATCTTCCAAAATTGCTTTAAGCTGTCTATAAGGACTCCATTATAGCATAAACAAGTAAAAATGGTTGTCCAGAATGCTAAAGGCGGTTCTAAATCGTTCTGGAATGCCAAATAATGCATATCTAAGCATACATCTATAAGTGAATCAGTGCATTCGATGAACATCTCAAATTTGATCTGATTAATAATTA